TAGAGTTTTGTTTTTCTGAAGAAATTGTGTTGAGCTAATAAAATTTTGTTCTTTAAGCAGGGCAGCTTAATTTTTTTGCAGCATGCCACATAAGCTTTTCCTTACGTGTCTGAAAACTTCTGTAACTTTTGTCTTCAACCCCTGATTCAGCTAGTAAATCTGCAGTGGCAGGGGCCGCTGCAGTTTTTGGGTTGGATAATATGTTGCCTTGCTCAGCAACAATCATTTTAGTTTTTATTTGACAACATTTAAGTTTTTCACAAAGCATTTGCTCACTTCTAATGAACTTTCCTGTTAAGTTGATTGCTGATGAACTCCATGTGCAGTTGTACCCTTAAATTTCTTTTTGTTTGTAGGGCCTTAAGCTTATGGCTAGGTGTATGGCGTAGGGATATTGGAGGGGGGTGAGAAAGAGAAAGCTGATAATTACTTAATTACCCCTTAAGGTGGGAAAAGAGCATACTGTGCTTGATCCAGCACTTCACTTCTATAGCGCTGCGAACTTAGATAGTTCTTAATGGTTGTGTTTCTGTCAGAGGCTTTGTTCTAATTAGTAGTTGCTGGGTGGTAAGCTGGAAAAAAATACTTAAATCCTGTTGTGAGGATAAAAGCTCCAATATAGCTGTCTGCTCAGACTAAATGTAATGATTAAACACAATGATGGAGTCCAGATAATGTAACTGTGCTATGAGCAAAAAGACTTTCCTGGTAACCTGACATTAAGATGGCTACTGCAGTCAGCTTTCAGGAGTGAAGACCTATGTGCATATATGTGTGTGTTTCTTTACCTCTAAATCTGATCTTGGGTTGTTTTAGCATGCTCCATATAAAAGCAGGCCTGGATGCTGCAGTGGTAATTAGCTGTGACTAGCTGGAGATCTGGTAATGCCTATATATATTAACACGACAGAGAGTGTTTTTCAGGGATTCTTAAACATCAAAAGGCAGCTTGTAATCAGACATTAAACTAGTTAGCTGGTAACAATTAACTTGTCCATTTTATTTTACAAGTTATCGCCACTGAAAACTACTAACCACCGCCATTTAGAGAGACTGAATTTGAAAAAAAAAAAAAAAACGACAGTCCATCCTGTAACTTGGCCATTCTCTATCCTAGCAGACTTGTGTTATCTTCTCCTTTAACTAAGACTGTCTTGAGAAGTCCCTAGTGGAATGTTGGTTTTGAACTCTGGAATACGTGCCTATTATATTAGAAGTGATTTATAAGGGGTGTAAAAGAAGTGGCCTATAAAGTGTTTTTAAATGCACTGACACACTTGCACTCGTTGCACAGTCATCCAGATCACAGTATTTGCTTCCCTTAGGTAACAGTTTTTATGTAGTAGAATTATTGGCTATGTTTCTTAAGATACAGTCTTTATGTAATTTAAAGTGTGGTATTAGGAGTTTGCCAGAGACCAAGCCTCGTCTGGGCAAATAACGTAAGCAAACCTCTGCTCTTCTCTTTTGTTGCATTTAAGCTTGCCTCTTGGAGGCCTCAGAAGGTAAAGAAGGGCATTTGACTAGGTGTCAATGTGATGTACATATGAGCTGTTCAGAATCCTTCCCGAGGCTGCCACAGAAAAGCTCGCTTCAGCACTGTTCACACCAGCTGTTCCAGGTACTGGCTTCCTGGGTTCACCATGGTGACTGCTGCCTGGCATAGCAGTTGAGTGTTGTTAGTTTTCCATTAAATAAACCTGGGTAAGGTAATGAAGAATGCTGGTCTTGAAATCAGGGCAAAAGTGAAAGCTTTGAAAGATAAGAGATTTAGGGTGAGCTTGTTTAGAAACATACCAAATGTTTACCTAGAGAAGTAGCAAGTACTCTTAGTCTGCTTTTTTGTGGTACATCAACAAAAAGTGTTGTTCTGTCTTGAAGCTGAAGAATACTTAATCAGCAAAACAAGAGTTGACTCTTAACTGGGGAAAAAAAAAGAATGTATCTTTGCCAGTGTGTGTACTTGGGTTGGGTGTGTGCTGCTCTTCAAGTGAGATTAGCTGCTGCTTAGGGAAGTGAGATGTACATAAGGACAAATGGTGTGGTGAGAATTACACCTGTAATGTGTAGAATGTGACCTGTGTCTATCTATTAATATGTCATCTTTGGTGTATTTCTGGCTGAAGAAGTAGTAAGTGAGCACCCCAGCACTTCTCTTGACATCAGGCCTTGTAGTTTACTTCTACAGTAGACAGTAGGATGTCTTAAGGAAATAACAGACCTAATTAGCTCAGTTCAGCACAGTAATCTGTGAAAGTATCTCTCTCAAACTAAATATGAAAGATTTTTTGTAACAGCTTCTGTTGTCATTGAGATACCTGAACAAAGTTCATTTCAGAGGACGTCTTTAAGTCTATTTTATTGGTGATAGATGTTTGTTTCCTTTGTTAACAATTAGTTTTTTCTAAAAAACATTTATTACTGATTTAACAAATAATCAACATTCTGATTGCAGTAAATAGGGAGCTTAACTTGCAGGGCTGTAACTCTGCAAACAGAGTGAAGCAGCCACATCTACAGATCCTTGCCAGGACTTTGTGCTAGGTTAGCATTTGTTTCACTTTGGAGGCCTGTTTTGGTGGAGAAACAAGCAAAAAACCAACTTTGTTCTCCCTCTAAAGTACATGACTGTCTATCTTTTTAGCTCTTTGGCCTCGCTTCTTGTGAGATGAGGTGAGAGTGGGTGCCAGTAAAAACGAAGGCTTGGGGAATGTGTGGCTGGAGAGTGGTGAGAGGCCTGTGACCACCCCCCCTTTCAGTCACAGCTGTTAGCCTGCACATCAGTTGTCACTTAAGTTGTACTTGAGTGGTAAGGTTGTATAATATATCCCTACAGAGAGTAAAAATCAACATTATGTATTTCTTGATCCCCAGTTTTTCTCATAATCCTTCAATATTTCTAGCTTATGTGGTCTGTTAGACTAATTTTTGACCATCAGTTTTGTTGCTGTCCATAAATATATGCTTTAAGGATGGGATCTGGACTTCAATGTCTCTTGATGAATCACCAAAAGCTGTTAACCTTGGATGACTCTTAACTGAAACAACTTCCATTTCAAGTTGCAATCTCCCACTTGCCATGAGGTTGGGAAATGAGTTGTTACAGGCAAGAACTGCATTCACATGAGTGTAAGAGAAATGGCATTAAGTATGAACTTATTGCTATTCGATGCTCATTAGATAGCTGTGTGAGACTTAAAGTACGGTGCAGCATGCTGAAGACTGTTGGAGTGACTAATTCATGGCCATGGATATCAATACAGTGGTGTATTCAGATTGTTTATTTTTTGCTTATATATGGGCACAAAGTACTGCATTAAGTTACTGTTTGTTTCACCTTCCTTGTGCTTTGCAAGTCTCTAGTTGAACTATATATTAGCTTAAAAAAGTATTCTTGTCACATGCATACTTATGTGGTAGTAAGTGAATGCACCTGATCTGAACCATTCAGTGAGAGGAAACCTTACACTTCAGTGGAATAAGTAGGGCCTAGCATCTAGACCTGTAGCTGCAGTGTGGCTGAAGTGATATGAGAGGATTTAAGTATTTCTTGGAGCTCTAAGCATTGAGAAGAGGCAATACTAGATGGTCAAAGGGCATTGGACAGGGTAGCCTGTGAAGTCAGCCAGTGCAGAGACTAAATGCACTGATAAGAGTAGAAAGAAAACTACACAGACCTCCGCAGGTCTAGTTTCCAGACATAGACTAAAGGTATCTGAGTTGCTTCAGTTTACTTAAGGGAAGTGTAAATAACATCTTGATTTTAAAGATGTTAAAGGTAATTGCACAGTATGGGTGTTCAGACATGAAAAAGATGTGGCATTAAAAGCACTTCAGAATGACCAAAAAGGCATAACATTGAGTGGCTGGAAATCTTCATTAAACAAATGAAATGGGATGTTTTGCGATAGGGAATGTGATTAATAAATAGCTTTCTGATAAGCTGGTAAGTCTCTAAAAAGAGATTTAAAAAAAAAAGAGATTTTGTTTGAGTCTTGGAGAAAGTTAGAGTTAACGGTTTTTGTGTTTTGAGTAGAATAGCGATGATGAGCTGAATTACCATGTTGCATTTTTTTTTCCTGGCCTTGGAGGAAGGTTTAAGAAGAGGATTTAAAGGCAGCTTGTTGGTCATCATGGGGGAGGAGTACTGACCTCAACCTGCTTAAACACACTGCAGCTCCACGTTAAGAGAACTGTGTCACACTTCAGTGCTTCAACTGGTTATCTACTTTATGGTCCTGATATATTTTAGGTTTTAGCCTGTGTTTAGTCTTATCTGAAACATTTGGTCATAGCTGAAAGTAAATTGAGGTCAATTGGTTGGATAGCTTGGGAACTAAGAGAATCTGTTTCTTTAAGTGTCGTTTTCACATGCTCAGTGTTGAACTGGTGGTCAGGTTTGAACTCCTAAAGGCAGCTTTTTTTCTTGCTGGCACTTCTGCTGACAGAAGGATACTTTTTTGTGCTTCCTACTGCAGTTTAAAGTGTGAAATATCTGGGATTATGTGGGCATCATTTATTTAAACAGTTCACTTGTGTTGCAAGGGTAATGATAGCCTGTTTTGGTTTTTTTGCCTGTGAACTGCATGGTGTAAAATGTATAGGCGGTCAAACTAGAAGACCCTAGTATCCCTTCGGCTTTTAAACTTCCTGACATTATAATGCCATAGTATGTGCTTTCAGATGCATTTGGTTTTAATAAGGCAGCCTCAGTTTCCTGATTTAAGGTGGATTTTTGAGCATATTGTGCACAGTGTACTGAGTATACTGTAGAGCGTATTCAGAGTACAGAGAGCCTGACAATCTGCAGCCTTGTTTGTACTTATATTTTGTTTACAGGGAGAGAGAAGACAGTGTTATTAAAAAGAAAAAAATACTTCATAGAAGTTATCTTCTAATAATAATACTTTGACTTTGTAAACAGCAAAATGCTGTGGATGAAATGCTGTATCTCTTTTTAGGTTTAAGAAGGCTAAAGCTTCACTAGAACTGTAACTAGAATGGACAGTTACTTTAAAGCTGCGGTCTGTGACTTGGACAAACTACTTGATGAATTTGAACAGAATACAGGTTAGTTCCTGTGCTGCCTTGTTCTCCAGCATAATAATATTGCTCAAATGACTGTTACCATGGAATTTGAAAGTAACATATGCTAAATAAAAGCTTGTATTGATGAATAGATGGGATTTAGAGGGAGTGGACTGTGAAAAGGGAGAAGTTTTATAAACTTCGCTTTTGATCTCTCTTTGCTTAAAATAGATGAATATGACTGCTACAGAACACCTCAAAATCCATATGACTCAAAACATCATTCGCTTTCTTCAGTTCTGGATTGCTTACAACATGTATGCCCAACACCAGAACTGCAAGAGGATGCTGACAATTGTACTTCATCAGAAGAAATCTCTCTAGCTAGCCACATTGGAACAAGTGAAGCGCTTCTGAGTTATTCACCACAAAATGAGAAGAGCATTGCCGGACCTGATCTTTTGTCCACTGTGGACAGTGGTTCCTTAAATGAAATTCAGGCTTCAACCCTGGGAAGGTGTAGTATACCTGTGTGTGATCTTGTTAGTGACACAGGTAACTTAATCCATTCAGTGGCTGCTCACGAAGATACTCAAAAGTTGCAGCCAGATGACTTCCAGTACAGTGAAGGTTTGGTTGGCTTTGGCATATCTTGCATACCTGTTCCTACTTGTGTGTCATCAGCTGGTTGCAGTGGTGTTTCAAGTACAGAGCAGAGTGATGGGGACTCAATGCTACAAGAATCAGGACATCTTAAAACAGAGGAGATTAATCACTTAGCTTTAAAATCTGACAGTTATGCTACAACAAAGATCTCAGATCCATGTGATGATCAACACAGGACAGAATCTGTAAAGTGCAGTGAAATATTTGATCAGCCTGAACAAACTGCTCGCCTCAATACTGCACATGTCCCTGTAACATCAGAGAATTCAAATGCATACAATCCCAAAGATGAGAAAGCATATGAAAAATTGCCTTGTGAACCACAAGATGAAAGTGCAGTAAGCAGAGAGATGTATGGAAGAAGTGCCATAGAAATGGTAGACTCAAAAGATGACAGTAATGTTGAATCCATGCCTTCAGATCTGCCAAAGAGGCCTCAGTTGCACAAAAGCCATGCAACATTACCTGCAAATTGTGTTTTACCAGGCTCTTCATATGAAACAGGAGCTGAAGTAGAATTGGAAAAGAAAATCACAGAAGAGAATGTACGTGGTGAAGAATTTAATACCAATGAAATTCTAAACAGTGTTTCAACTTCATCTATTTCAGTTGAGGATGTCCAGACCTCGCTGTCATGTCTTCCACTTCCTGTATCTATATGTGGTTCACTAGTTGCAACAGAAGAAAAAGTTAATCCTCTACCTCAGAATGAAGTGGAGGAGGTTATTGGTGATATTTTAACTGTTCATTTTGGAAAGTCTAAAACTGATCTCTCCAGCAGGGAATCCTGCAAAAACACTGACTTGCATGAACAGGAAGGATATGTAGCTAAAATCAACGAAAGTGTTGTGGAAAAAAGGACAGATGGAGAGAAGTATGATACTGAGAATGTAGTTGATGACAGTGATTCTCAGCAAATCAAAGCTTTTGCTTCTGCTTTTCTAGAATACGATGCTGAGCCATATGGTATTGGTATAGACTCTTACTATAATGAAAGTATGAGCCCAGGTATGGCTGACTTTACTGTTGAGGAGAATGTTATTAAAAGTGATACTCTAATAAGCGATGCTGAGCTTGATGATTTCTTGTATGGACAAGGTCTTCAGTCCAATGTGTTGAAGTCTTCAGACAATGATAGTAACTTAATGGAAGCTGATGCAGATGAAGGGAATTTAACAAATGTGAACAACCTGGATTTCACAGAGGTCACTGAAGAACACGTGCAAGCAAAACTGGAGGAGATAACGAGTAGTAATAGTAATCTTAAAGTATCTTTTACTGCCAATGAATCCGAGTTTGCAGCAGAAGAGAGTATGTCTTGTATTCAGGACATGACTGAGAGTGGTAGTGAAGCACTAGTTTCTAATGTTCATACCGAAGGTGCAAGACCAAAGCAGTTGCTTGGCCTTTCCCAAGGAGCTGTTGGTCAGAGACAACTGAATAGAACCGATGTACTTGAGAGAGAAAACCAGGAAGCTGGTTGTGTTACCCCAGAAGCTCCTCTCTCAGGCACCAGCGTAAATGTTGGTAAAAACTCTGACCCTGCACACTCTGGGGAAAGCAGCTCTGAAGCTGGAGGAAGTCAAACATCTGAAAATGTAGACTCACTTAAAATACCTGCAGCTCTCTCACGGAAACAGCCATTGTGGGTTCCTGATTCAGAGGCACCCAACTGCATGAATTGCCAAATCAAGTTCACTTTTACAAAAAGACGACACCACTGTCGTGCATGTGGAAAGGTAAGTTATGGGAAGGGGGTCCTGTGTTACTGAAAGCAAATGAATTCTGATTTAGGGATAACCAAAATACAGAAGGGAAAGAATATTGACAGAATTTTTCTAGGCTTGAAGTATTTTATTTTTAAAAAAATTTTTTTCCTTTATAGAAATGTAAAGACAGTTGGAAAAGACTGATATTAGTTAAGAAACATATGGCCTTTTTTGTGAAAATAATTAAAGGGAAGTAGAGAGAATGTTCTTATTTTATCTTCCCATTACTGGCTAGACTCATGTGTTTTGCATAGAACAAGGAAGATGAGACACTACTTCATAGTAGTCATAGTGAATCAGCTTTTCCCTCAGCTTTTAAATTAAGCTTAAGTATTTAAGCTTAAAAAAAACCATGGATGATGATGTCTGCAATTCAGGTAAGTGGTTATACTAGCTGTAAAACACCGTCCATGAATCTGGAAGAATTGCATTCTTTCAGGAGCTGTAATAGCAGTACCAATGCAAAAGATTTACAGCCTAAATCTGTCCTCCTGTGTGTCTAGATATATAATTTTCCTGGGGAGTTATCTCAGGGGAAAAGTATGCTACTTTTGTGGGGTGAATGGTACTCGCCAACAGAGCAAGTGATCTGTAGAACATTTTTCAGCCTGTCTTCTGCAGTGAGTAAATAATGTCAAAGCTTATTCTTAATCCAGAATTCCCACGTGAGTTGCTGTGGCTTACACTTGTACTAGTGTGTAAATGGAAATACAGTACTAATGAACTGATTTTTCAGTGTTCTTCTGTAAGCTTTATGGATGAGGAGATAGAGCAAAGACTAATGTCAGTACTTACTAACTTTTTGCATCCGCAGTATTGAGAGGCATCGGGACAGGCTTGGGAATTTTTTCCCAGGATACCTCTTCTATCACTCTGTATTCAAAGCATAGTACCTGTTCACTTCAGGTGCAGTAAGTGTGAACTAAAATGTAGGTCTGAATTTGGGTGCCAAGAAGACTTAAGAACTCATTATGACAACCTGGAAGTTGTTGAACTTAATCATTTGGCAGAATATCCTGTATAAGTTTTGTAACAGTTTAAAACACAGTTCTTTAGAGCAGGTTTCGTTTTAGTCATAAGACTGACTTCAAGTTCCTGTTTACATTTGCTGTGAAGTTTCTTGCACTTTGTCTAGAGATGGGGATAAAAACACCCTTCGCTACACAGTCCTGTTTACAACCATCAGCTCTTAACGTTGCTAATCTTGTGTGTTACTGGGGGAGGAGGGGGGCTGACAGAATAACAGTGTAATTAGAGGGAGCATCACAATGCATGCTTGTTGGGAGAATGAGTGAAGGCAGAACAGAGTATCTGAACTTTAAGGATACGGGAGTGCTATGCAGTTGTAACTCTCACAGCTTTTCTGAATGTGCAACAGCTTAACTTTCTGCCTTGTAAGACTTTTTGTCTTTTTAATAGCAACTTCTTGTCTTTTTTTTTTTAAAAAAAAAAAAAACAACAAACCCAAAACATTCTTTGTGGACATATTGTGGGTGGTTGTGTTTTCAACCACTTACACGTAAGCAGAAACTGGTAGGAATTCACAGTTGTACTCTGTGGACTGTTCTGGAAGACAATTGTATAGTTTTCATGTGGTCCTACAGTTTTTTATCAATGAAAACGGCAACACTTATGAATTCTGTGCTGGAAGGAAGCATGAGGTTAGTGGTCCCTGCTTTCTCTTGTTTGCAGTACTTGTGAAGTCAAACAACTTTGCAGTTCCTTTATTTAGATGTTTGTGTCTTGTGTCTTCTTCCTAGCTCAAGCAGAATCAATTTCTTTTCTCAGCAGCCTCACCTTAATCTCCTTTCCCCTGTTACATTACCAGTCCCTTAGCTTGTCTTCACCTCTTGTCTCCTGTGCATTAGGATTAAGCTGCATCCTCTGTTGTGGGTCCCAGTGGCACCAAGTGTAAGAGTAAAATACCAATTGCAAAGGATTGTACTGCTTACCATTTGAAGCCCTAAGGTGGTTAGTAACTGATTAGCAATTAATCTTCACCGGTTACATTCTTAATATCTTTACTGAGCATGTGCATTTTCAGTTGAGGTAAATTACCTGTGACGTGAATGCAGAAGCAATTGGAATAGTTTCTTTTTTTTCTCATATTGCACCGATCAAGTATTACTGTTTTTACAGTGACTTTTCCTACTTAAGGGAGTTCACTTGTAACAACTTAATTTTTTCCTCTGTCACTACTGTTTGGGTTTTTTTCCCTTAATCCACTTTGTTTTCCTAGAGATAACTAGGAGTAGCAGAAGACTTTGTGTTCTTTCCACTTACTTAACTCTGGTCCGTGGTAGAAGGCTCCTGTCAGACCGAGGTTTCAGAGGATGCCTTTTGTAAAGGCTAATACTAGCTATATGCAGACTCTAGAGCCAAAAATGGTGGGACTCTCTGAAAACTTGCAAATCACCCTTGAAAGAACATAAGTGAAAAGTGAGAAAAGCACCAGGTACTTACGGGAACTCTTGCAGAAAACAGCTTTACTAGAGACATAATTCTTTGAATGGCATTGTGCAGGTATAGTCCAGGCTAAAGAGACACATTTAGACAGGATACATATCCTGTTGGTGTAGAAAAGCATTTTCTAGTCTTTCAAAGCAGTTTTCAGCAAGCTTTTAAAATAGTTTGCTGAAGGGAGCTAGTAACATGAAGACAACTATGCTTATTCTTTCTGACAGAGTTTGAGAGCCTAGTTAGCCAATATAGTTCCTGAGCCAGCATTAGTAAATAGCTAGGGAAGCAGTGAGCTCTGGCTTAGATGGTTGTCCGTGAGGTAGAAGAGGCAGCTTGGAATTCCATGACAAACTGATAACACTTGTTATGGAGAGAGTTGGTGCAGCGCATAGTGCTGCAAGATCAGTGGATGGGGAATGGCTCTTTGCTGCGATGAGACTAGGTTGTTGTAACCATTACCTGATTCCTAATGGGAGATTGCAAGTTACCTTCAGAGATAATACTAAAGCAGTAAAGCAAATCTGACCCAATTCTGGGGTTCAGTTCTTGTTCCTATCACTGTTTAATGTAAAATAGTTATGGGATAAACAGAAGTAGGAGTGAATTTGGGAATAGGTGGTGCAACGTGGAATTCTTTTCATTGCTCCAGATAAGAATTTCAATATATCATCACTTCTGTCCTCCTTGTTGCTACTCTTTGTCTACGTATTGTGGGTTTTGGTTTTTTTTTTCCCCCCTGAAGGTTTCTTCATGAGAGATTAAGATACAGGCTTGAATATTAGGCTGCAGAGGGTTTAGAATCAAACAAGTGCATATGATTTCTTGGAAGAGTTTTCTAATTGCTGTGCAAGTGTATACCAGCTGCTTTGAGCTGTGATCTTAAAAAAAAAAAAAAATTTAAATCCGATTTCAGCTATTTTGTGGGCACCTGGCCTTATGTGATTAGATCCGCTCACAGCAAGAAATTTTAGGTGCTGCTCTGTTTCATAGGTGAATCAGAGAGCATTGGCCAGAACTGAATCCTTAGCTGTGTAATGTGGATGTTCCTGGCCACGTGTGGAAGGTTGGTTTGTAGACATCTGAAGATTGCTTTGGTCCAACAGAAATACCTGACAAACTTCAAAAGCTTATGTGTAGATAGGTTGTGGGGTAGTTCTGGGAAACAGGATAGGAAGAACACCTGATCAAAAGCAGACTTGGCAAATTTTGTAGTTTGGCCCAAATTGTGGAGCTTTTGAGATTCTTAATCATAGCATCATAGAATGGTTTGGGTTGGAAGGGGCCTTTAAAAATTACCTCATCCAACCTTCCTGCTGTGAGCAGGCACATCTCTCACTAGGTCAGGTTGCTCAGAGCCCTGTCCATCCTTACCTTGAGCACTTCCAATGATGGGGCGTCCACAACTTCTCTGGGCAACCTGTTCTCTGTCTCACCACCCTCATTGTAAAAAATTTCTTCCTTATATCCATTTGAAATCTACCCTCTTTCAGTTTAAAACTGTTTCCCCATGTCCTGTCACTAGAGGCCCTGGTAGAAAGTCTCTCTCCATCTCTCTTATAAGCCCCTTTTATATATTGAAAAGCCACGATAATGTCTGCCCAGAGCCTTCTCTTCCCCAGGCCGAACAACCTCAACTCTTTCAGCCTTTCTTCATAGGAGAGGTGCTCCAACCCTCTGACCATTTTTGTGTCCCTCCTCTGGACGCACTCGAACAGGTCCATGTCTGTCTTGTGCTGGGGACCCCAGAGCTGGGTGCAGTAAAGGCCTTTTTAATAAAAGCCTTCTTAGTCTAGTACTTCCCCTTTTCCCCAAACAGAAATGTATTGTAAGATATATGTGCTAAAGCTCCTTTTCCCTTCCCTACTTCCAAAAACGTGTATGCGTGCTTTATATAATGCAATCTGGTTTAGTAAAAGGAGTTAATAATAACAGGAACTTAATTCAGGAAATACTGTGATTTTTGTCTATAATATTTAATTCAATCTTTTTCTCGTTCAGGTTTTTTGTGGTGGCTGTTGCAAACGGAAATGTAAACTACAGTACATGGAGAAGGAAGCAAGAGTCTGTACTGGCTGTTATGATGATATTAATAAAGGTAAAAAGGTTTTTTTTGAGTAATTGAAGTAATCATTAAAGAAGAATAGATACAGCTAGCATGTCTTTAACCTTTGTTCTTTTTGGGGAGCTTCACTACTTCAATTGGTGTATGTTTTCCTATTTCTGAGATGGAGAGAGGAAGAGGATAATTGTACCTCTTAGTGGGATTTCAGTTCTTATTTTAAACTTTGAGTAGCAAGCTGGTTATTTTTTATTAAAAAAAAAAGTAGGTTTGAACTCCGTAGGACTAAATATAAAGTTATGCTATTGGGTCATCTGTGGCAGGAGTCTAGCAAAAGTGATCCTCCCTCCACAGTACCCTTCTATGTGTTTAAAGGTTGTACTGCTGCTTGTTCTCACATGTTATTTGCCCATTTTATGTAGCTTTCTGTCCTGATATTTTTACAAGTCACTTAACAGTACTACAGTAATTGAATCATAATATTACCTTTTTCTAAATGAAAGCTAAGCATGATGCTTTTGGAAACATTGGGAGGAAAAATTGAGGTCCTGATTATTAATATTTAAATAACAAGTTGAAAACATACCAGATTTTCAATATGCCTCCTGAATGGAATTTGACTTGATAAAGGTGGTATATGTATTTGCACCAAAGTACATGGGCCATGTGGTTCAATGTAGTCACTGCAACAGCAGCAGGATGTACAAGGAGGTCTGTTTCTGTTAGGAACGAAGGAGGCAAATGTGCAGGTAGAAAATCAAGAAATCTAAATTTTCTTCTGTACAATAGCTTGAGCGTTCATTTTTCATAACTAGCTCAAACTGTGTACTGCTCTTGCAAAAAAAAAAAACCCTCCTGTAATACTGCACTGCATATGAAGTTTAATCAGTTGTGAGATCTTAAAAACTAACCACATTTTTTTAGCACAGGCATTTGAAAGGATGATGAGCCCAACTGGTCCTGTCCCCAATTCCAGTATCTCATCTGAATATTCTTCTCCTGTTCCACCTTTGGAGGAAGCCCAGATATCTGGTAGTGCTAGCTCTCCTTCACCTTCTGCATTGTTACCTATCTCGGTACTTAAACAACCTGGTATTGAAGGTATGCTAAATATAATGTAATATATCTAACACTTTCAGGATCTCTTTGGAAAGAGTTGTTTATTGCATCATGGATGCATATGTGGTATAGTGATATTTTTTTTTTGTGGGAAATGGAAACTCTGTGAACTGAGACTGGAAAGTTACTTTTAGTTCCCAGTTTTGATGCCATGTATGAGCTTGACCAAGTCTGTCTTAAGTCTTCATTTGTGAAATGTGGATGTTACTTTTTCCATTGTCCTCTCCGTTTATATTGTGATTGTTTTGTGTAGATACTACTTTCATCATTTTTATGTAGCTTGTGAGATCTCTGCCTTGTGTTGTGACTGCCAGTCTTACAATAAAAACAAAAAGTAGTTGTTTAGCAAAAAGTTGCTAGGGAGCAGTAGGGGTTAATCCTCTGTGTAAATACAAATGGTTAGTGGCTAAGTAGTGTCTTTGTTCCATTTTTATTAAACATCTGATCATCTTCAATGAAAATAAATTTTTAAACAGAGCAATAGGCTAACTTTTTTAGAGTGTATTTAATCTTTTAGTTGTGATAATCACTTCATTCTTATCTTACTATGGAGGGATGATTGCAGAAGTAAGCTTCCTTATATAGGAACTGATAGATTTAACTATAGCATGGTAGCTTCCTCTGCAAGTATGAGATTTTTTTTTGCGTGTATTTGCCTGACTGGAGACTGGCTGATGTCAAACTGTCTACCTGTGCTTGGTTCCAGTAAACAGATTCTCTATACATTTGGGGGGAGAAGGGTCTTAATTTTTATCCCTTTCAGCTGTTAGAACAGTACAATAATACGAAGTCAGTGTTGTTTTCTTAACCTGTCCTAGGGCTGTGCCCCAAAGAGCAGAGGAGAGTTTGGTTTGCAGATGGTATTTTGCCAAATGGTGAAGTGGCAGATACAACAAAACTTTCATCTGGAGCGAAGAGGTCGTCACAGGACTTCAGTCCAGTAAACCCTGACTTGCCAGAGATGCATATGGTATGAACTAAGAAGTGTGTGCAGGTGCATGAATAACCTCTTGAAATACCTTTGCTTGCTGTTGATGGAGCCCCTTACATACTATAATACAACTTTCGCTTCACAGCTTTTGGAATCTGAACCAATATTTGATTATTTTTTTGGGGGTGCCTGTGGAGTTCTTGGATTGAAGTATTCTGTAGACCATACTTCAAAGGAAACCATATTTGTTTTGGGGGATTATGTGAACTTTAAAAATGGTACGGCAGAAAATTTTCCAAGGTGTGGGGTTTTTTCATACAAAGCCTTTGATTAACTACTTTTATGAAGGTAACATCAGCCATAGTTCTGAAACCTGTCATTAACAACATGCTTACAGTAGAAGTTTGTGGGGTTTTTTTCAGTGCCTTGCTACAGTTTTCCTGTTGGATTAAACTAACCAGAAGTTGCTTAATGCCCTGGAATACTGCATTATAGGATGTAGCAAAATCTATGTATTGCTTCTAATGTGAACTAATACTGAACTGAGGGGGGGGATTGGCTTTTTTATAATAGGTCATGTCATATTAATGGTGTTGGACTTTTCTTGTCAAGTGCAACTAGTTCAAAGAAGTGGTATAAGTTTGCTGTGAGATTTGGAGAGTCCTCAGCTGGAGCCTTTTAAAAATGTGTCTCCGAAGTGCTGTCTCAAGTGATAACATAAATTCTATGATCCTAACAGTGTTCAAGAGTTTTTAAAACAAATTAGTAAAGCTAATGGCCAGACCAGATCATTATTATTTGTATATGGAGGATCTGAACAGTTACCAGGTGTATAGTGCGTAAATCAGCCTTAATTCATGAAGAATGGATAATAGTAAATGTGACTTCATTTGAACAAGGAGGGACTCCAATAAGTTGCAGTAATCAAAACATATAGCCTGTCTTCCATTTTGGGGAAAG